GACAAATGCCGACATGGATGTCAAGCCCAAGAAACCATGCAACATCTTACTGGGGGCTGCCAGGCATTTGCTGCAACTGAATACAATGAACGATATAATTCAGTAGTTAAACTCCTTCATGGAGAAGTAGCTATTAAACTGGGACTTCTTGCGAACCATCTCCCATATTATCAATACGTTCGGAAGAGTATGCTTGAAAATGACAACTTCAAGCAATATTGGGACCGCACTGTGCTCACAGACCAAACAGTAGCACACAATAGACCAGATCTCGTACTAGTTAATAAAATAACAAGACAAACAACTCTAATCGATGTGGCGATACCTAACAACAATATTCTGCGTGTTAAGTACAACGAAAAGATCGCCAAGTACAGAGATCTGGAAATACAAATAAGGAGACAATGGAGAATGCAAAGTACCCAGACGATACCTATTATTCTTTCTACCATTGGAGTCATTCCGAAGAACCTCCTAGAAAACATAAAAAAGCTGGGTCTAAATGAACATCTATATAAGATCATGCAGAAAGCTGTGCTACTTTCGACGTCCAGACGCGTGCGAAATTTTTTGGGAGATACATCGACGTACCAAGTCACCTAGGACTCTGGACTAGACAAGTATCGTATAATAAATATAGTCAGAGGAAAGGTTCAGCCCGGAGGTTTCGATATGCAAGATGGCCAAAACATCGAGGCAATGGGTGAAAATGATATTTACAAATATCTCGGAGTAAAACAGGCGCGGAAAATTGACCATAAACAGATGAAAACTGAACTAACTTCGGAGTTCGTGCGAAGAGTAAGACAACTAAATCGGTCATATCTTAATAGTAAAAATTTGTTTAAGGCATTAAATGCGTACGCCTGTTCCGCGCTGAGCTACTCATTTGGTATTATAAAGTGGTCAAAAACGGATATAGAGGGTCTTCAGCGGAAAGTAAGAACACTTCTCACAAAGGCGCAAAAACATCATCCACGCAGTGCAGTAGAGAGAACAACATTGCCGCGGTATCAAGGAGGAAGAGGACTTATGGATATAGGTGAGCAATTAGATAAACAAATTGCTAATTTAAGAACTTATTTTCAGGTACAGGCTGAGACATCTACTTTACATCGAGCAATTTGCGCAGTAGATGACACAACGCCGCTTAAACTGAGGGAACAAGAAATGCGCATAAACCATCTGACTAAGCAAGAAAAATGCGCACCTGGATGAGTAAACCTCTGCATGGGCGACATCTCAATGAGATCAGCCAAGAATATGTCGACATTACATCGTCGAACTATTGGTTGACATCAGGAAAGATGTTTCCCGAGACTGAGGGTTTCCTACTTGCCATTCAGGATCAGGTAATTCCAACTAAAAATTACCTAAAATATATTGTTAAAGATCCTCAAGTCCAAAATGACAAATGCCGATATGGATGCCAAGCCCAAGAAACCATCCAACATCTTACCGGTGGCTGCCAGGCATTTGTCGGTACCGATTATAAAGAACGCCATGACTCAGTAGGAAAGATTATCCACCAAGAACTAGCTGACAAACTGGGACTTCTCCAAACCGACCATCTTCCTTATTATCAATATGTCCCTGACAGAATGCTTGAAAATGACAACTACAAGCTAATACAGACCAACCAGTGGCCCATAATACACCGGATCTCATACTAGTGAATAAAATTACCAGGCAAACAACACTTATTGATGTGGCGATACCTAACACTAACAATTTGCGTGTTAAATACAACGAAAAGATCGCCAAGTATAGAGATCTGGAAATACAAATTAAGAGACAATGGAGAATGGAAAGTACCCAGACAATACCTATTGTTCTATCTACTACTGGTGTTATTCCCAAAAACCTCCTAGCGAACATAAAATAGCTGGGTCTCAATGAACATCTTTATAAGGCCATGCAGAAAGCTGTACTCCTCGCGACGTCCAGATGTGTACGAAAATTTCTGGGAGATACTCCAACATACCAAGTCACCTAGGGACCGATAACACGGAAAGAGTCCCACCAGAGCTCAATCCTTTTGATACCGTAGGTATCTGGGATGAGTGAATTTTCCCCTTAGAGGGAGTGTGAGTCGTATGGCTAAATCTGGGATAATAATAATAATATTTACTTTACGGAAACTTTACCGTAATCTCCACTAATTGTTTGGGGAAAGCTTATTGAATTCCTCTCCTCAGAGAGTACTGTGTACAGTACCAAATATTTTAGGACCATGGAATTGTTAAAAGATATTCCTTCGATATAACTTAGCAGACTTCAAGGCGTTAATTCAGTATGTTTTTGGTTCTATCAAGTTGTACTTAAGAGGAGAGTAAAGAGTAATCGATTCAAATAGGTAAAAAGAAATAAAATAAGACTTACTCACAATCAATTTAATTTTACTACCAAAACGACTGGTTTCGCTTTCTACAATTTGCAAAGCATCTTCAGGTCAGTCGGTACAAAGTTAATTAAATGCTGAAATTATAAAGAGCCCATATTAGGGTGCTGTCTTATAAAGATAAAGATAAAATTACAGTAATTATGCTAATATGTGTTTATTAATATGAATAAAATTTATTAAGCGGACAATCTATTTTTTACACTAAATAAAATAGAAGACACTGGATTGATTTGGGGGAGGCCTATGTCTAAAGTTGGATTACTTAAGGCTGAAGAAGAAGAAGCAGAAAGTAAAAACCCACAAATTGGTATAAGATAATCTATTGAATTGTAATAAATTAGTAAATAAACAATTTTTTTTAATAAAAGGATAGTTGTATGACAATGAATGAAGTTAGATGTACAATTTTGTGGGAGTGCAATTTCTTTAACTTTTAATTATCAATTTTCTTGATAAAGTTAATTTGATTTCAGATTTGTCAGAAAATTGTGATGTCAGAATTCTGACATCTGACAGATAATTACAAGTTAAAGAAATTGCACAAAAACAAAATTTTACATTTAACTTTATTCGTTTTCATACAACTATCCCTTTATTAAAAAATTTCAATAAATTAACACACATTTCTAAAATATATCTTTTATCTAAATATAAATAACTTTGAATAATTTAAATAATATAAAACATCACTTTCATTTAACAGACAATAACATAATACCTTATTCTTATTTCACTCCCCTCAAGAACCTTCTCCGCTAATTATCAAACAATTACAATAAAAACCGAAGATCACCCATCTTTTTCATCACTTATCACCCGAATTCTTGTACCGGAATGTAAGTAGGTAGTATTTTGTTTATTTACTAATTTATTAGAATTCAGTAGATTATCTTATACCAATTGGTGAGTTTTTACTTTGTCTGCTTAATTAATTTTATTCATATTAATAAACACAGACATGTAATATTGGCATAATTACTGTAATTTTATCTTTATAAGACAGCACAATAATATGGGCTTTTTATAATTTCAGCGTTTAATTTACTTTCTACCGTTTGACCTGAAGATGCTTTGCAAAGTGTAGTAAAATTAAATTGATTGTAAGTCTTATTTTATTTCTTTTTACCTGTTTGAAATGGACTCACACAGGCAACACAATCATGATTTCAGTAATCGATTCATATAGCACCTTTAATAACAAGAGAATATTTTATACCACAAATATTACGAAATAAAAGAGTTGATTTTACAAAATTGTTCATTTATACCGGATTTTTAATATGGCGCAATCTTTGAATTATCACCGTTCACTAGATTTTTTAGCGAGAGTCACACGTTGCTTAGCGACTTAAGACCAACTACTTCTTCGATTTATAAAACAACCAGCTTATATGGCACGTTGAGACGAATATTTTTGTAGGCTAGAAGTACAGTCTGTCACAAAAGATTGAAGCCAATATTTATGAAGACGAAAAATAAACTAATATTAATACAACTTATAACTATAAATATCATATGGCATTTTTGTCACAAATATCCTTTCGGGTTTTCTTGGCGCCAATTACATCTTTAACCCTCTTCTAGGTAGCTAGTGTTAATACACACTAGACCAGGGGGAACGACGGCTTTACGTGCACTCCACGTCAGTGGCGCGTTATCATTTTAGAAATAAAAATGTTGGTGCCGAGAATCGAACTCGTGCGTTCTGGTTTAAAAAGCCAGTATCTTTGCCGCTGAGCTACTTCTGTCACTGGATCTTCTACAGATAGCATACTGTGGGATTTACATCCACTAAAAACCTTTACCCTTGGAGGATAGCATGGAAAATATATGGTGTAGAACTTCACCACTCTCCCTCTACACCCTATCGCATCTACTTAGCCTTTAAACTACACTAACTATAACATTCTCGCTTCCTTTTTCCGCTCTCCTGCCAATCTGTCTTTCTTTTTATCATCGTAGCAATTATAGTTTCTCAATCAATATATTTGTCATTCAGCTCTCGCACGCAGCAACGAAATATGCTCAGCAGTATATTTATGCCTCCTTGGTAATGTGTACACACGTTAGTCTGCTCCTTGCCAACTTTTTGGATAGTGATCGAACCAATTATACCCCGTTAAGACCTGGTTAAGGTGATAGTTTACTTCTCTGTGTTCACCGTCGACTTAAGATTGCCTTGAAATTGGTAATAAGATGTTCATCTTCCATGCCATTCATCAGTCACTCTCTTCCTTTCACGTCTTCGCTCTTCCTCTAGTCCTTTTCATCTCCAACTATTCGTCATTTTCTTAGCGATCAGCTAAGTTCAGCAGTTCAGGCACGTTGAGGCTAAAAAACGTTAGCACCACAGCACCCTTGAATTAAATACGAAAATGTTTCAGGAATTATTTTATATGTGTATTTTTATATGAAGATAAGTTAAATCTTATCGAGTTGTTTGTAACAGCTTCTATTTAATCGTTGATTGAAATACATTATTCATTCAACGATTTAATAATAAAAATAATACACGTTTTAATACCTTAACAATGAATAATTTGCACCGACTATGAAGCATTTGACAAACAGCACACGTGATACTTGACTTAACATTAATGACAATTGACGGTGCTTTGCTTGTTCTTGCAAATGAAGTGTGTTGGGATTAATATTCTGTTGTACAAAAAGTGAAAGTATAATAAGTTTTTACAAAAATGCTGTCATGATAGCATTAAAAAATGGTAAATTTATTCTAGTAAGAGGAACCATAAAATGATTTTTTTTATTTTTAGGAATTTCTTCCAAATATAGATTTAGAGGAGTTGGAATCCAGTTTATACAGTCAGTTGTACCACAGTAGTGAGATACAGGAAGAATCCAGGCTAAATCTAAACCTGGATGATTCTTTAACAGATAGTTCTGCAAACAAAAGCTATCGTTATTTTTTAAATCCATTAGAAGACTCTCTTAATATTTTTAAGGAGCAACAATTTTCCTCTACACCAGCAAATAACACCACAGAAAACAGTATCTTTTCCAATCAAGATACAAGATTGGAGTTACCGCAGCCGAATTTCTTTTCCATTACATCTGAAAATTCTCAAGGGAACGTAAATAACCACTCTCCTCCAGCTCCAAATGTAGATAGTTTATGCACAGATCAATCAAAAAAATATTCTAGAAAAAAACAAAAAAAGCTAAGACGATCTAGAAGGTTACAAGAAAAGCAAGAGTTCGAGTTAATTGAAAAGGTAAAGTTTTATATTAAATTATATGATCGAATATAATTGAAATATTATTAAATATTGGGTAAAACTACGTAATGATAAGAATCCTCAGATTGGTCTGAAATGTAAATAATGGATTGTGGTTAACATACTATTCATATTCATTTTGAGACATTGAAAACAACCCATCAAATTTATTTACTTTATTTATTTATTTCAACGGTAGAACCATTTACAATAAAATACAACAAAAAGTAAAAAGTAAAGATTATGTACAATAAATATCAAAACAATAACAAAAAAACAAGTAAACAGTTACAATTTGTACATTAAAACAGTATATCAAATCACAAAAGTTAAAAAAAAGTATCACATATCTAGATTAATAATTAGATTTTAAGTTGCATTTTGAAAGCATTACTTAATGTTTGGGCAGAAAGGATCCAATAAGAGGTCATTGCAAGAGCTGAGCATTCTCAACAAGGGAAAATGACAAGCATAATCAGTCCTATGAAAAGGAATATAAAAGAGTGTAGTGTGTTGAGTTCTATGTATTGTGTTTAAATGTACATTGGCTAATAACGAGGGACAATTAATAAGAATATAACAATTAATAAGACATAACATGTTGAGAATAACATATCAGCTCTCAACCTGTGGTTCTTCAATGTAGCAATGTTAAAATATGACAATAATCTATGAAATAATTTTCAGTATTTTTTATATTAATATGTGCTTTAAAAGCTAAAGATCTTAGAAACTTCCTCTGAACGCTCTCCAATCCATCAATGTATACTTGATGAAATGGAGACCAAACAACAGAGCAGTATTCAAGACCTGAACCTACCAGGAAGCAATACAATAATTTGAATACACTAGGTGAGAGATCATGACTGTTACAATAAATAAAACCAAGATTACGAAATCCCGTTTCCTTAATTTTAAGAAAATGGCTTCTAAATGTCAATGCACAATCCAATAATACACCCAAATCTCTAAGCTCAGTGAATGAATCCAAGAGTACATCATTAAGAACATATCTATTAGCTATTAGATTATTTATATGACCAAATGAAATACAAGAACATTTAGTTGGATTTAAGCTTAAACCATTTTGTTTTGACCATAAACATATATTATTTACATCATCTTGCAGGAGATCTCTATCCGATTTATTTTGTATACAACGAAATAACTTAAAAACAATAAGTGTGAGTTTTTGATAGCCTTACCAATATCGTTAATGAATAAGTTAAAAAACAAGGGACCACAATGAGGCCCTTGTGGTACACCAGAATAACAATGGAATTCTTTTGAAATATAACTGTTAATAAGAACTTGCTTTGTATGTCCCATCAGAAAAATTTTAATCCAATTAACAATGGGGTCACCAAAGCCAGATGCATGAAGTTTGTGGACCAAAAGATTATGATTAACCTGGTCAAAGGTCTTTGAGAAATCAGTGTAAACACTGTCAACCTGAATTTTATTCTCAAATGCACCCAACAAGTATTGTTCGTAATTGACAAGGTTTGTTACTGTTGACTTCCTGTTAGAAAATCCGTGTTGTTCATCAATAATTATGTTTCTACAAGCCCAGGTGAGATTTATGAATACCAATTTACAAGAAGTTTCGGATTGCTGATTGAATAGTTATACCTCTATAATTGTTAACACACTTGCAATTGCCAGATTTATAGATAGGTGTAAGAAAACTATTTTTCCAATATTGTGGAAATACAGATGATGACAATGATAAATTGAAAATTTGTTGTAAAGGTTTACAAAGGGAAAAAATACAGTTCTTAATAAGTGCTGCAGGTATACCATCAGGCCCTGAAGAATATGTAGTTTTTAAACTCCTAATCCCCCCGAAAACATCAGTCAGACTAAACTTCAGAATCTGGAAATCCACACTATAGTCCAATTTAAAATTAGGTACATTATACTCACTATGATTATATGCACCTGAAAAATACCTGGCAAATAGATTGACTACTTCATCACCATTCTGAGCTATTACATCCCCACCTTTATTATACATTACATTACTTTATTGTGAGTGTGACTACAGTACCCTGTTAACAGACCTGCTATAGCTTTGACTGTTTTCCTGTCTTTGCTCATTAGGTCTGATGTCAATTTTGGCGAATGTTCTATAATGAACTATTTCACCTGTCTTTGTCCTGGTGAATTCCTCCGCCATTGCAGAGATTTTTGTGCTACCCACTTTCTTGTAGATATTCTTGTTATAGCCGTTGCAATGCCATAGAACTGTTCTGGTCCAATAATTGGCATTAATGTACCTTTTTTGGCCATTTCATCTGCTTTTTCATTGCCCTTAAGACCCTTGTGCTATAGTACCTGGGCTACTGTAATCTTGCTAGGGTCTCCTAGTTTATTTAGGACACCCACACAATCCCTTTTTCTTCTTCTTCATGTGAGATATTACAGTTATGCAAGCCTATTGGGAAGGCTTCTCAATCTTATAACACATGGAATAATTGTTCTGCATTTGATATCTCAGTCCATTCCCGAATATTTTTTAACTAAGAAATCTGTCTTTTCCTACACCTCTAAAGCCTTTTATTTTGTCTTTAAGGATCAGTTGTAATATTCTATATTGATTTTACCTCACTATAGGTCCCAGATAAAACATTTTCCGATGTTTAACAGTGTTTAGCAATTCTCTATGTTATTCTTTGTTTTATTTCTATATCTGGATCTAGGTGGTCTGTTATGACAGTTCCCAAATATGTAGGGTTTTATTTTAAAGTTTATTTTAATGCCTATTTCCTCTCCTACTTCATAAAGAAGACCAAGCAGAATTTGGAGACCTTCAATATTTTCTGATAGAATTACTGTATCATCTATGTATTTTATTACTTTAAGTAGTTCCCAGTTGATTTTGATTCCATATCTCAAGTGCCTTTTTAAATAGCAGATCTGAGTAAGCATTGAACAATGTTAGGGACAAAATGCAACCTTGTCTGACTCCATGTTGTATGGAGATTTCATTAGAGTAATTGACCAGTACAGGATACCAATACAGATTTTTAATGACCAAAAATATTTTAGTCATTTGTTAATATTTTTTTAGCATCTACATTAATTTTACATGCTGTACTTTATCGAATACCTTTCATAGTCAACAAAGCATGCAAATACATCTTTTCTTTGATCAGATCATTTTTGTAATAGGATATTTAGCGCAAAAAATGCCTCCCTAGTTGGTATATCATCTGGACCACAAGCTTTCATAATTTAAGAATTTTTTAAAGCATGTTCTACCTCTGATTTCATCATTTCTAGGTTGTCAATACAATTTTGGTAGGATTCGGTAATATTATTTCTATCATCTTCAAACAACTCTGATATATACAGTTGCCATTCTCTTCTTATTTCATTCTCATTTACAATAATTTTGTTGTTATTGTCAACTAGTTCAGAGGGAAATCATTTTTTAAATATGTTGCTTATTTCTTTTACTTTTTTTGTGCACATTAAAAAAGTTGTGCCTAGATCTCAATTTCCTCACACCTGTCTCTCGTCGATTTTTCTTTGGCTAATTTTATCTCCCTTTTAATTCTTCTCTGTAGATGTTTATACATAGTATTTTTCATTTGATTTTATAAGTTGCCATTGTATCATCAATTTCAAAATGTTCTCTGTCATCCATTGATTTTTCTTAATTTAATTACTTTTATAATCATTGCTTGTGGAAATGTTGTTAACTTGGTTTTAAATTAATTCCATAGTTCCTCTGGATTATTCTGTTACTTCTATAATCATTGTTTGTGGAGATTTTGTTAACTTGTTTTTTAAATTATTCCATAGTTCCTCTGGATCATCTAGTTGTTCTCTGATGTTCTTTATTCTATTGTTAAATTCTTTTTGAATGTATTCTTTTATGCTTATATCTTCAAAATTAATTATATTGGTTTTTAGTTTATGTTATTGGATTCATTTTAACCATAGTTTAATATCTGCCACAAAGGGTTGGTGATCTGATCCAAGATCTGCTCCTGGAAATGTAATGACTTTTGATGGCATTCGGAAGTCACTTACAAGTATATAATCTATGAGCTTTTCAACTATCTAGTCGTTTCTTGGGTAGTTTATACCAGATGTTTGCAATGACCATGTCATTATCATTATAAAATTCATACAATCTCTGTCCTCAATCGTTAGGTTGTCTAAGACCATAAGGATCTACTTTTGACCTCATCAACCTTCCCCAATTTTTGCATTGATGTCACCTATAATATATAAAATTTCATGTTTATTAAGCTTCTGTAAGATGTCTAGGATGTGATCATAAATCTTTTTGACTTCATTGTCATATTTCCTATCTGCAGGCTGGACATATATTTGAAGTATATTAGTTTATAATGTTTGAGTATTTGGAGTAATATTATTCTATCTGATACTGGTATGAAGTTGTTTACATATTTACTAAGTTCTGATGTTACTAATATACCTACACCATTTTTGTGACAAGGGTCTTCTGTGCTGTTACTGGAATAATATAATACACTCCTGTCCTTTTTACTTGTCCCTGAATAGACTTCTGACATTCCATGTGCATATTCTCAAATTAGATTTTCTTCTTTCTAGTATTTCTTCACAAGTGTTTCATATATTTACAACCTGAGAGGCCTCGTGGTATAAATAGGTTTCCCTTTTCCTGCTGAATCTTGGTTTCTACTCTCCAGGATTAGTAACGTTTTGCAATTGATGTACCAATTCGATGGTGATTTTCCTGAGGGTACTCTATGAGTCTTTAATGCAGTGGTTCCCCTTTGCCTTCTCTGCATTCTTATGCAGTTGACTGTTGATTCGTCCGTCTTAAAGGCCGGAAAAATTTCTCAATCCCAGGACAAATGAGTGGTGCTCTGCCACTTATCAAATTCATTGGTCTGAAGCCATTGGTCAGTAAGTAGGGGATTGCTTGCACCGGCAATCACTCAGATGTCAGAGCTTAGTTTATTATCTAGCAGGGTGCACCCGATGATCAGAATCAAGATCATCACACAGGCAGGTAAGGTTGACATTTGGATAGGAGAGGCTATACGTTGTGCGTCACTATCCTAGACAATCCCATAGTAGCTTAGAATTGACATATATAGAATTGAGTGTCTTAAGCGCTACATGGCTATCTATGAAGATGAATGGTGTGTTCTTTCTGCGTTTCTATTTCTTCCACACACTGATGGATTACCATTATTTCCGCCTAGAAAATGTTGATATTCTTTGATAGACTTACTGGGAAATGTAAGATGTAAGGTAATGTGCTGAATATGTATTAATCTGGGCATCACAGATCTGACTTTGCCCTTTATAAAGATATGAATTGGTGAAAGATTCAGCAGGACTTCCAACACCACTGTAGGAGTTGTTTTTATGGCCCCCTTAATACACAGACATGCTAGCCTTTGTGTATTACTTAGCAGGCTTATTTCTCCCACTTGCTGCATTTTTGTCTTTTGCCACATCATATACCCATTGGGTATCATTGTTCTAATAACCCTTGTGTAACCAAAGGGTCATTTTGGGATTGAGCCCCCAATTCTTACTGCACATCCGCCCAAGGAACATCGGCCCAAGGACATAGTAGCTTTCTGTGTGGTTTTCAGTATGTGCATATTCCATGTAAACATATGATCAAAATATACCCATAGGTACTTTGTTTGTTTATTTTTTTTTCCGTGGAATGTATGGCTTTGGCGAGAACCAATTAGCCAGACTATGTTACATTGAATCATTAGTTTGTGTAAAATTGTGTGAATTAAGTTCCATAGTATCAAACCTAAGAATGAAGTTTAACATTTGTTTTGTTAGTAATATACAAAATAAGTAAGGTGTTTTTTTTTGCGCTAGAGCGTCAACCCGGTTCATCCCCTCGGAGGTTTTTTTTTTTTGCTTACAAAATTGGTTAGTAATTTTACAGTTTTAGTTTACAGTTTATGATGTGTTGATGAAGTACATAAAGGATATCATTATTTCCTGAAAAAATAATACAATTTAGGTCTATTGGAAGGTTTATCTTGTAGTAAATTAAGTTTTTATATAGTTTATTAATGTTTACATTATTTATTGGACATTCAAGTAAAACATGTACTAACTAATGAACCCATTTTACCACAAATACAACATGGATCGTCTGTAATTTTCATTTTGTGCTTATAATAGGGTGTTAGTGCATGATTAGCACATACTCGATTTATTGTGGCGACAAAGTTTCTGTTTGGTATTTTGTGAAACCATGGTTTTCTGGGAATTTTTTGCTGGTGTTTACAAAAGTTTGTTCCGGTTGTTGAAGCGTTTTATAAAAGTTTTGCCACATCTCATTTATTTTGTTTCTTTGGTTTAAGAATAAGTCGGACGGGATTAGTTTAAGATTTAGTTCTTCTCCTGATGTTGGGGCTGTTTTTGCTAAGGCATCTACTATTTCATTACCTGTTATACCTGCGTGTCCCTTTACCCATAGATATATGACGACTTTATTCTTGATGTGTATCTCATTATGTAAATACAGGATATTTGCTTCAATATGATTAACTGATCTATTTATGTTTACTTTTTTAAGTTTATCTACTGCACTTTTGCTGTCCGTACATATTATGAATTTGTCGTGGTTGGACCCGAGTATGTATTTCATAGCTTGCACTATTGCTGTTAATTCTGCAGTGTATATGGAAGCTTCTTTTGGTAGAATAAATTGTTTGTCAGTATTTTCTTCCAAATGGTAAAAGGCACAGCTGGTTTATTCTTTTGACTTTGATCCATCAGTGAATATAGAATCATAGTTTGGTCAGTATTTGTTTTTTGTTTCGTTAAACTTTGTTTGATTGATACTTGCTACTTCTTGACTTTCAAAATAGTAGCTTCTAATTTCACGTGAAAAAATTTGTTCAGGTGTCAGAGATTGTCTTCACCGCATCTATAGCCGATCTGGTTTTTCTAAAACCATACTGTCTATCTGAAATTTTCCCAGTACTTCAAGTTCTGGGCGTTTCTACTTATTTTCCTATGCAATGTAATAAGCATACTGGTCTATATGAGTTGGCTTCGTCCGGGTTTTGGTAACAATATGAGTCTCGTTAACTTCAGTTTATTTGGGAATTCTTGCATATCCGTCCTCGGGTGTGCGAACCTTGTTGAGCCTCGTCTTTATTTCGTCGCAAGCCTTTGAGAACTCCGCCATAAGAGGGTCCTCAAAGACCCCGACTTCTTCGACGGGTACCTGCGTACTAGTTTATACGTGTATCCTAGAGGGCAGGAGGTGAGTGTAACTTGGCCTCGTGCCTTTCGGCATTTCGGGACTTTTGCAGAGCTTCCCGAAATTTTGGTCAATCCATACTTCCTGTTCTGTGTTCTGCATTACACAGAATACACAAGTGTTTTCCCTGACACTCTTTTACGCCGTGATTTTTCTTTCCACTGCGATGGCATATATTACTGCGGTCTGGTCCTCTGCAACTCGCCATTTCATGGCTATAGACCCAGCACTTACTGCTTGTTAGACCTAAAGCTTTATCACCCGAAAGTATTCTGAACAGACCACCAGTTTTTCTCTCCTACTTTCGTGGTTATAGTTATAACACCTGTAACAATATCATCAGAGCACCGGGATTAAGGTACAATCTACTTTATTAGGCACGACCTTGGCCTTATAGCTTTAGGTGTGTATATTACTTATCTTACCTTGTTTGCTTGATAAGCCATCAATTTTATCGCCAATTCACCAGGGCTCCTGCAGGAGGGCAATACCAATGCCTTCTTGTTCCACTCTTCTAACCAGCGTTGCTGATTTACGCGGCTTTTGCGTATTGAAGATTGGCCCGCAGAAGACTTATTTCTCTCTTTACTGCCAAGAGCTGTCTGGTTCTAGTTCCGTGGACTTCTTTTTCTGTGGGTCCAAGCACTTTTGGACAGTAGTCCTTACGAGTGCGCTGGTTCCGACTGAAGGTTTGTTCCTCTTCCTGAACCTCCATATGCAGGGAATTTTTCCCTGTTTCTCTGGAGTGAGTCGCTACTGGCTTTTTATCCAGTGTGTTTGTCTTCTCTTCTCTGTATCAGAACCCTTCTCTTCTTTCCCACTCCGAAAAAGAGTTTCATGTTGAGTTTATGTAGCTCTTCTCGAGATGGTATTCAGCATATATTGAGAAGGTCAATAAAACCCGTTTGTCTGAAGGTTTGCTTCCCCAGACTGTCATGTGTTCTGAGCCCACAGTTACTTATCTTTAGTCTATTAAGGATCTTTTTGGACTTAAGGCGTTCTCCAACTTCATCCTATCCGAAGACAGTGCAGCGTCCCCGCGTTCAAAACCTTGAAAGATGCATTCTCCCAAGACCTTAGAGTTGGAATCACCTGCTTTAGCCACCTCACAGTTGTGTCATCCACACAGTTAAGTTCTAGGAAGCCCGGCGTGTGGCTCCTCGTCAGATGACCAAAATAGCTGTTTAGACTGCCTTAAGCTTTTCCACATCTATCTTGGCTTCTGGGAATCCTTTTAGTACTGTCGCAACCTTAACAGAAGCAGCAGCTTTGCTGAAAGTTACATCCTCGGTTCTTAGCTTTTCCCTTTGTGTTGGCTTTCGGGTGGTAAGCATCTATGTGACCTTGCCTTTTTGGACCTTCGGCCTTTTGGGTTTTTTTTTGTTTTTATTTCATGGCTTCTAATGGCTTTGACGCAATTATCAATTGCTTAGTATTGTACTTAGAAATCTCAATGAAAAAATTATCTCTTTGTTTTTTTTTTGTATAAGTTCGATGTAGATCAATTAAATTTAAGTTTGCACCCTCACACAGGCCCTCAATAGTCTTCACCACCTCAGTCGCCTATTTTTTTATATACTCGTTTACACAGTTCACCCACAGGGTCCCTTCGCCAAACGATGTTTTATGGAACTGCAGGAGTTCATTTTGACCTCCGATAGGAGCCTCATCCAGTTCTTGCTTCAGTTTGTTAATGATCAAATTTGCTTGAGCCCGATCTAGTTGAGTATCAGGTTGGTGTTTGTGTGCTACACCAATCTGAATACTTTTGTCAGGGTGCTTTATGACCTAGTTCGTTCGTTAGAGCCCCGTGTCCCAGCAGCCATTTTTGCCTTTTTTCTCATCTTCCTTTGTTGAGCTCTAGAGAGGCGGTAACTGACTTTTTTTTTTTTTTTTTTTTTTTGTTTTTTTTTTTTTTTTTTTTTTTTTTTTTTTTTTAGTTTAAAAATCTTAAATTGTACTTCATAATTTCGAATTTTCCTATTGTAAAAATAATTCTTGGTGTATGTGCTAAAAAGCACCTTACAGTTTTTCAGGCTTTCTCCCGGTGATTGACTTATTTATAGTTTATAAAAAGAGAGTTTTATTCATATTGTTTGTAGATTTGTACATATTTAAATTAAAAATTTGAATCATAATATTTTTTCTAAAAAAGATTCATTTATTAAAAGTTGAAAATAATATTTTATTCTCTTCAAAACATTTTATAAAACGCAAATATTGAATGTTATTCTACGACCACGCGGCATTTACATATAAAAATATTTAAAGTTGCACTTGTTGCAGTAATAGCGCTGACATGACCGCCCCCTAGTGGTATAAATAAGGAACTACAATCTTGATCAACCTCTGGTTCTTTTATTACATGTGTATAACGTTTGCCGATGCTAAAAAATGACAGTGAAAGATCCTTCTATATATGCGTCTATATTCTTTGTTAATACCCCAAAGTTGTAACGGATTATCAAGCGTGCTAGATCATAGAACACCAGATTAGAAGAAGTTGGTTTGATAGAGAATGTAATAATCATTTGGCCATTATTACTAGAAACTAATTATACATGTGACAGATTTTTACGGTTGTTTATATATACATATTTTACACATAGATGTTGGACTGAATTTTAATTTAATTTTACTTTTTCAGTTTGTTCAGCAACAACAACAGCAACAAAATTCGGTAGTAATATACATATCGGATTCAGATTCTGACGATTGCGTAGCAGTAGATGAATACATGATCGACAAAAGACAAATAAATACAAAATTTCCAAAGAAGTACAACGAGTCAGATGGTGGGCTACCGCCAGAGAGAGATGATGATATTATTTTTGTGCCCCCACCACCAGTTGAAGTTATTACGGTTGATTCTGATGAAACCATTCCGTGTAACGTAGTCGACAATAGTATTAAAAATGCTGATTACACAGAAGATTGTGCTTTGGTAGAATTGGATTCGTCATTAAGTAACGATTTTCTGGACACCGCAAATGTTGATCGTAATTCACAATTCAATTTTGATCTCCATGGATCTGAGTTCACCAATAACGAAGTAATGACCGTACAAGACACCTCGAAATTAACTGAATATTGTGAAACTGAAAGTAGTTGTAGTACAAATGAAAATAGAATTTTTTCCAATACAGTCAAAACGATCGTTTTTGATGAAGTTGAATTTCCGAAGGAAGCAATTTTCAATGAAAAAGATTTAGAAAGTTTTGGCTCATTCATAGTTCCTAAAAGGACTTGTAATAAACGAACTGATTTGCCTAATGAAGTAGATAAAACTGAAAGTGCAGCATTTGAAGTTGCTGACATATTATCTGACAGTAACAGCTCAGAAAGTGATTTTGAAACTAGTACAAACCAAAAATCACATGATTTGCCTCATTTATCACCGATGATAACTTCAGACGCAAATAACAAAAAAAATAAATGTAATGCGAACGAGTTTTTTAAAGATAAGGTGCCTGTATTACATAAAGAAGTGGTAGAAAAGAAAAAACGGAAAGATTCTAATAATTCTTCGAGAAAGAAGAAAAGAGATTCAGATAACGAAACTAGTGATATTAATTTTGGAAGTTGTATTACCAGTACACCAAGTTGTTCAACCATTAATAAAAAGAAAAAACATTCACATCTTCAAAGCCATGAGGGGGTCGTTTCTTCCATTACTCAAACAAATGATATTTTGAACGTCGTCGATAATGATGCGGCCCTCTCACAAAAGCCAAAAAAGAAAAAAAAGAAAACCGCATCAACAACAACAAATTCATTAAACACAGACACCTTAAATGAAAATATAGAGTTTGTAAATATGGAAAGTGTTGAATCCGGTAATGTAGAAAAAATAAAAACGAAACGAAAGAAAAGTAATTCAGGTTCAAAAATTTCTGAACATGACAACACGGACATTTTTCTGGAGAAAAGTAGTGGTGTTTTTGATAAATTTTTTCCAGAAACTGTAGAGCTTAATGAAGTTATGGATACCAAAGAAACATCCAAGAAAAAGCGAAAGAAGAGAAAAAATTCAACGGAATCTTCTTTCCGCAACGAAACAGTTCAATTTGCCTCTGATTTTAACAGCGATAAAGAAGTTGCGAGTGCTGAAACTGCAATGGGCTGTTCTAATGTAGTTGAATTTACGAAGTCAAAGAAAAAGAAAAGGCGAGAATCTGTACTGTTAGTGCGTTTGGAACGAAGTGATATTGAACATTTGGAGGAATTAAAAGATTTACAAGACAAAAACGTAGATGGCAAATCTAGTTTAAAACAAAAGAAAAAAACGAAAGAAACAACTTTATCAAAAGTATTGGATAATGATTCTAATCAACAACTAACCGAACCCCAAAGCTTAGGTAATGATGATGAAATATATTCCAATGAACATGATGGGAGAAGAAAACATTCACAAGATAAAAACATAAATGACAAAATAGAATTAAAGATGAAAAAGAAAACGAAAGAAACGGATATATCTAATACGTCGGAAACCGATTCTGAGGAACAATTATCAACTTCTAAAATGGTAGAAAATAATGATGTATCTACTCATACTGCGAAGCCCAAAAAGAAAAAGAAAGAAGTCTCAGAAATTTGTGAAGTGGAATCTCATGAACTCATTAAAGAAAATATAGATGTGGATACTACCGTGTTATTAAAACAAAAGAAGAAAAAGAAAGAAACATCTATATGTGAAGACGGGGAACTGAATTCTACCGAAAAAAGTAAAGAATTGGAAATATCGAAACAAAGTGCATCTATTAATACTGAAACGAAAAATGCTTCAGCTGTTGTAGAAACAAACTCGACTCCAGAAATTATAGAGGTTCAGAATATTGAAGTCGTGGATTCGGAATTAGATGTCGTAAATCCCCATATTACTGTCTCTAGTGAAAATCAGATATCTGAAAAACAAGCTGCAATAGAAGAGGTATCAGGAAAAAGTTTAGATGGTTTTGTCAATACATTACCAATAGAATTAAGTAATATACCAAGCACTTCTAACAAATCTAACGTCCCTGATCAAAGTGATTTATTTATATTAACTACAGATCATGAGGAATCTAGTAACAATCAACAAATTTTACTTGAAAAGCTACCTTTGGGTAAGGATGAGAGCATTATATGTATTGAGTCTGATGATTCTGAAGATAGTAGTGTAGAAACACTTTCTTCTGACAGTGATAATGATTTTGAAGTTCTTGATGATAGTGAACATGATTTATCGTTAAATATTAGTAAAGAAAGTAGTAATGCAGGAACTATTGATGAAGAAAGTGCTTATGACAGAATTATTCGAGAAGCTCGGTTGCCTTTACCAGATTATGATAATTATTCTGTGGCATCTGTTCAAAGTAAACAATCAGGTAAATATTTTATAACTCTATATTGTTTTTAGCATAGTTAATGATAAAAATATATGTCATGACGTAAATTAATTCAAAAATCAATATGTTCCTCTTGGTTTTCAAAATTTACTTGTCACAGATTTCCTAAATGTTTTCTTACTGTCATTAACATTTGCTTATTGTAAAATTTACAGATTGCAAATAATTAAATGCGATGTTAATAATAATTCTTAACTTGTTCCCATACCCACCGGCTAGATTGTACAGTATACACTGTAGAAAACAAAAAGTTTATTAATATTTCTACATAATTTAGCTGAAGTCGTGTGTGACAAAGTAAATGCGAGTACAAAGGCTAGCTCATTATGTATATACAAAAAACAATTATAACTTATTAAACCAATATTAAAAGAAGAAATCAATAGAAAGATGATACATATCGAGGCTACATCATTTATGTTTTAAGATAGCATAAATGTAAAAATAATGTTTGATGTTAATATTGAGAGAAAACTAAAAGTAAGACCAGATACTTACCACGTCGGAATAGTATCATGAGGTTTTTTCTTATGATTTACTATGGGATCACGAAAAGAAGAATTTTATTGTCTTCTAATAAAGTCTAGATAAGTCGCTACAGCAACCCAACTCAAAATATTGACAATATCATTTTAAAACCATATACTTTAAAAAATGTATAATATATGTCTATTGTCAATACGAAAGAGTCAGATAAAATCAAATTATTAGAATAATTCTTCACCAAGTAACAGAAACAAAATTTGTTTAATTTCTATATTGAGAACGATTTCCGAAGTGGATATCGAAACGTCAAAATAAACTTATTTTAAACTAAAATTGTGGTTAGTTCCCAGCAAAAATAGTAATTTTTTCATTATCTTTGCCAATATTTTGTGCATACAATGTAAAAGCGTGATTGGTCTATAACTTTCACATAATTATTTGTCTCCTTTTTTGTAGATCGGTGTATTGATTTCAGTATTGTCTACTGGTGCTTTGCCATTTTTATCCTTTGTATTTCTTTTCTCACTTCTTCCTTTCTCTGCTTTCTTAATTTTTTTGTTTTTCTTTTTATGTAACAATAAAACACTGAAAACTTTGTTTTCAAATTTCCACAAAATTTGTTTTTTGGATCTATTTTTGGCATGCGTTTATTTTTGATAGTCTCTAATGAAATAGGTTGAGGAGGGGAGAACTGTTTGTCTCAAGTTGGTCATTCAGAATTATATCTGTGTTTTTTAATTTGTTGAGATGGGTTTAGAGGATTGCCCATTATATATGCCCATAGAAGTCCTGCACTGTTATTTGTATATATTTGATTATTAAATTCAAAGTAGTCTTGATTTATGCAAACTTCAAGAAGATATTGCTATCAGATATTTTTATGGATCATCTAGAGACAAAGATTTCAAAACATCCCGTATTTAAACAGTTTTTATATTGGTGGAGATACATAGATGACGTACTGGTATGTTTCACAGGAACTAACAGGCAACTCGATTAATTTTTATCGTATATTAATTCACTTTATAGTCATATTGAATTTACAATAGAAACAGAACAAAATCAATCCATAAATTTTTTAGATTTTAAAATTATCAGACTTAAAAACAAACATGACTTCTCCATATTTCATAAACCTGAACCCATACTGACACGACTATACACAATTCATCATCCCATCCAACACAACATAAACTGGCAGCCTATCATAGTATGTTACATAGATTAACAGAAATTCCGATATCAAAATACAACTTTGAGACAGAATTAAATATTATTAAATAGCAGTAAACAACGGATACAACCAACGAACAATTAATAAAATGTTAAATCAAAAACTACACAAGAATGCCCTGAAATTAGTATTTCCACCACCAGAAAAAAACCCAGTACCTTCTGCTCGATTACATATACAGGCAAAATATCAACAAAAATAGCCAAACGCATAAAAAAACTAATAACACCAGCTTTCCGAACAAATAACAAACTAGGAAAATATATTAAAAACAACAAGAGCCAAAATAAAAAACACTTACACAGTGGTGTGTACAAACTTAAATGTGGCGAACTGAAAAGTTAACAAAATCTATTAGATATTACTTGGATTTTAGGAGACTTTAATGCGAAAATTGGAGTAGGTACAGTTGAAAATATAGTTGAACAGTTCGGACTACGAACTAGAAACGAGAGAGGAGAAAGGCTCATAGAATTCTGCCAAGAAAATAAGACTATATACATGGACGTCTCCTTCACATACAGAAAATCACATTCTCAGAAACCAGATAGACTTTAAACTCGTAAATAGCAGATATAAAAAAAAACTATATTAACCTCAGTTAAAACTTATCCTGGAACAGATGTTAACGCAGACCACAGTCCGTTAGTGGGTGACGTGAAAATAAAATTAAAAAGAACTCAGAAAACAACAACCAAAAATTAACGTAAGAATGCTACGACACGAAGAAGAAAAAAACGAATTAAAAAATACTGTGAATGTTAATATCACCGAGCAAAAAGACAAAAGAAGGAATCTAATCCTTATGAAAAGGAGACCAAAAAAGGGCCTCTGATGGCGGACATATCCGGAAATGCGAATGCGCCAAATTTAAATTTTCCGACACTTATTAATAGTAGCTATATAAATATTTTTCAGAATGTGTCTTAGACGAGAAAGTTTTAATTAATTATTAACGGTAATAGTCTAAAATGCGACACAATTGTTCAAAAAACTTCAATATAAATAAGATTTCATGTGACATTTGGGACAAACAATAACATAACCCAACTAAATTTGATGTCAAACAAGGAGAGATTCTCTTTCCTTGTTTAATGTGGCCTCTAAAGATCGCACTTTCTGTCTAACAATATTTTTGCCCCCACTACCTTTACATTCCCTCTTTTGTCTTTTTGCTCGATGGTTAATATGCAAAAAACACTAACTGACAACAAACAAATTATGGATGTAAATAAAAAGTGGTATAATATAAAAAACACATTACTGAAACCAGCTCAAGAAAGTTTGATACAACATAGGTCAGAGGCTAAAAAACACTGGAGGACAGAAGAAATACTATTACTGATGGAAAAAAGAAGGAAATATAAAGGAAAAGATCTACAGAAGTATAAAGAAATACAACGAATAATTAAGGAAAAAATCGAAACGGCTGACGAAATATATTTGATGAAACAATATAAAGAGATAGAAGAACTAGAAACAAAATATATGAGAAATATGCATAAAAAAATTGGAGAAGTGACTGGAATGGTCGAAATAGACAGCAAGGACACATAAAAGATAAAAAAGGAGTACTACTAATAGATTTACCAGAGAAGTTAAGAGGATGGGAGGAGTACCTACGTTAGAAAACTTTTCCAAGATGAAAGAGGTGAAATGCAGAAAATATAAGAATTAAATCCTTTAGAGAGACAGAAGATCACGATAGATGAAATCAAATATGCTATCAAAAACTCTAAAGACAATAAGGCAGCTGGATTAGATGAAATATACTCCATTCCACGAATATACGACTGTTTTAAATTAGGTTTAAGTCTCTATTTGAATGGTGCAGTGTGCTTAATTGTCCAATAGTAAATTCTCCCTATTTTTAAAATACTATTATGACTTAAAATTTAAATATGAAGTCATGATATATGAGTTGATAGTTTATAGAATAGTTATAATTCAGATTTTGAAGTATATAATTACTATCATTGATTTTAGTATTGTAAACAAGTTGGTTTTTGAATTAAGTGATTTAAACTAAGTGTAACAATACTTAGGTGATTAAATAGTGTAATTTATTTAGTCGAATATTCAATTAGTATTAAGAAAACAAAAAGAACTTACTTATTCTCCTAATCTCCTAAAACTATCATCAACCATCAGATTCACAGAACTTCACCATAGGAAAGTACATTAAATATACTGTTGTCTACATCTAAAACACGTCTCGGCGTTTTGGGCTTTAATAAATAAATACACTACACTAAACTCTCTCTCTTAACGGCACCTCTCTTCACCGGATACCTCTATACGGACAGTTTTTAAAAATAAAATCAGTCGGCGGTATATGCAACTGTATATAAATGTTCGTTACTTTTTAATATCTGTAACGACTCGGTACTTCAACTACCAATAGCCGGTATGTTATACCCGTTACTTTCGGAACTTTAGGTGTACATCCACTCAAATCAAACAAATATTTAAAACTAACAAAGTGAAATTATAGATCCTTTTTCTGGTTTCCAAACCATCGTTCTGCCAATTTCTTTACATTTATATTAAAAGTATATTTCTTTTTATTACAGTTGTAGTAGGTACCTAATAAAGTAATAAAAAGTGTAATATCAAAGAAACTCGGCACGCCTCTTTGGTGTTTACATTTCACGGAAACCCAACCCAAATGTCTTATGAACACATTTTGTTATTTTCGGATTAAATTTCACAATAAATTTTGCGTCTATCTGAACATATATTAACTGAAATAATTTTAGTGTAAGTGTCAAACTAACAGTAAATCCATTTTATTGGAATACTGTTTAGACCCATTTACTTTCATACCTACTTCTACTTGCACAGTAAAATATTCGTTGTCGTAATAATCCAAAACAGTCGTATATTCGTGGAATAACCTATACCAGTAGAACTGTTAAAACTAGTGGAAGAGGATAACTTGGAAGTATTGGCAGATTTATTCAACACGGTGTACGATACGGGAATAATACCACAAGAGTGGCTGAAGTCAGCATTTATAACCATTCCAAGCAGCAAAAGAGTGCTCTAATTATCGAACACTGAGCCTCATGAGTCATACGTTAAAAGTTCTGCTAAAAGTAATACATAAGAGAATATACGAAAGGCTATGGGAGGATATTAGCGAGACGCAGTTCGAGTTCCGAAATGGAAAACATATTGATTCAGCGATGTCGGGATGTAAATGTTGATCTACACGCTTCGTTGACTACGAAAAAGCTTTCGATACAGTAAGACATGA